TATATATCATAGAATACCATAGAATAAACAGATTTCAGAGACAGCCCTACTCTTGTAAAAAGCTATCCTCTGATACCAACCATCAAATTAAATGTGCAACTGATCCATTCCAGCTTAGTTTTACTAGTTTGCTCTTATTTCAATCTTTGATCCATGCCAGTCTCAGAAAGACTCCGATGATAAGAGCAAGATAACTGCAGGGCAAAACCCCTTATATCAACATTACTCAATATTTACTGTATTAACTGCTTAGAAATGAGGTGGAAAGGAGAGCCAGTCAACTAACGAGTGCAGCTACTACATCTAACTCTTATTATTTTTTGCCAAAAGCAGAAACAACATCAGATGCACAGAAGTGTACCTGTAGAGCTTCTGGATGGCGTGGGCTGCCGTCTTCCTGACATATGGGGACAGGTCAGTTGACGCCTCTTTGATGGCCAACATCATGATGGGGACAATTATGGTGACCCGGATACTGGACAAAACCCTCAGTGCGCTGGCCCGGATCAACTGATTTGGGTCCTGCCACAGAGATACAAAAACCGACTTGTGTCAGTTTGTGAAAGAATGTTTTCTACTAATTATTTTTTAAGTATCTGAAGCATTTCACAGAAAATCGAGGTTAGAGATTACATGCAACTTTCCCAGTCGTAATTAGGAACTACAACAACACTAATGTCATACATAAATAACAAAAACAACACAGTTAACATCTCAGCAATAATATATTATACATATTGCAAGAAAAGACAGCTTTTTACCATATTAGTAATAATGAAGAGAAAAAGACAGTGACAAGAAGTAGAGATGTTACCTTAAGGGCCCGCTGGAAGGTGCTAATGGATAGCAAAGCCAGGTCCTGCTGTTCTTCTGCATACCTCACCAGGTACACATATACAAGCTTCTTAAGCTGCAAAGGACAATTAAATCAAAAAGGCAATAAGATGAAGCAGCTGTGAGGGCAAATTAATGCAGCACATGGAAAGGAAACAAGCTGTGTTCTAAGAGTTCAGCAGGTTTATGTGAGAGGACGTGCTGTATGTTGTTAATAAAAGACAAAAGAGTGCAGCTATAAAAGGAATAAAATGAACAGGAAAAGTCTTCTTTCAGCTCAGTTTATTATTTCAAGTAATGTGAGGAAAAAAGTTGGTAAAGAAAGTTTTCCTGTCTTGGTATCACGAGCTGCAGACTCCATCCAGTGTTGTTTCAGGCAGAGAGCGAGGTTATGTATTTTTGTTCCCTTTCAGAAATTGCTATTGAATTATTTGCCCCGCCGTCTTGTGTTCCTGGCTTCCACACCTCTTCTTTTCTCGCAGGAAGGCCTGAGATAATATTTGTCCTGCTTTCTGACGAGGTTAACTGGAGGCCAAAGGTTGCTCGTCTGCTGATCACATCAACTGTCCAGAAAAAAAAAGTAACTAACAGAGCTGATTTCTTCCTATAAGGCAGCAGGTTCATAAATAATGGAACTGGAATAAAAGTGTTTATGAAAAATGATGATTTACTTCAGGAACTATATATAATTTCATTTAAGAACTGATCTACGGTCGAGGTCAGGGGTAAGGTTACGTTTTAGGTGCAATCGCAGAGAGTTTAATTACTAATCAGCACCACGCTTTCTAATGCAGTGAGTATTGACCTGCAGCAGTGCACTACAGTTCTCAATCATCCTTCTGGTCATTACTGCTGGAATTAATGGCATTACTCACTATAAAAGCAGACTCAACCCATCTGCCCTCAAGGATCTGGTTTCTCTGACCACACAGCACAAGACTGATTTCATTTTGAACAACTAAGTAGGCAGTTAAAGGCTCTACAACTTGCTCAGCACCAAATAAGATTTAATGTTTTTTTTGCTTTGCTTCATGTCACACAAAAGCATACACAAGTACGCCAAAACATGCGCGCGCGCGCACACACACACACACACACACACACACACACACACACACACACACACACACATTTATGATATGTGGAGTTAAAATAAAGGGTGCAACAATGATGAAAGAAAATAAATCCCACTGATATTAAATCACGTAACACCCTCATGCTCTTGACAAGGAGAGAAAGGGATGAGGGTGGGAACAAGAGAGGAGGCCATTTTTAGTGAGATGTACTGTAGGTGAGTAAAGTGTGGAAAAAACTGGGAGAGAGAGAGAGGAGAAACCAGCACTACCTTAGCAGCTGGTGTATACGAGGTGGGAGAGAGGAGACGTGACTGTGGGCTCTCTTCTGCCAATTACATCCACCCACCTGCTCCCCTACCCTGCCATGAGTTGCTTCGGCTGCATGCCTTACACACAGTGCCGGGTTTCAGGCCCCCCGCTCACATGCTGCCTCTCACGCTACCTGATTATTCTGCTGCTGCTAATCAATATTCACAGGCTCTGGGCATGGGAACCCCTCTTGAGCTGCTGCTTAGTGTTCGGTCATTCACTGGAATAGTCCGTGCGCAAGTCTGCCATGATTTAGTGGAGTATTTACAGACCCACGGTATCTTACAGTGTCTTTCTGCTGCTACTGCACCAATTCATGATTTAAAACTAGTTGTATTACTATTGACTGATCAGGTGATATGCCTTTTAAACTAGAATTAGCGGCCCGCAGTTGTATGCCTGCGACAACCAGTCAAGTTGCAGTTTACATTGATGCCTTTCCTGACTCATATGTAGTGAGGACTGTGACAGAATTTAATGAAAATGTATCAAGTCTTTTTTTTTGTGAAATTAATGTTATTTCTTTATTGACAGGTATGATTCGAGTGAATAATTTCTAGTGGGAAATATGCTGTCTTTGCTTAAAGACTTTTTTCTAGGAGTACAGAGGACTGGTAGAGAGCACTGTCACATGGTGCAACGACAAACGCCTCAAGCTCAATATCACTAACTAATGACCTTGTGGTGGACTACCCCACAAGCTCCCGCTACTGTGGCTCCCTACAGTGATCTTGATGTCTGACCATCAAATTCTAATCAGTACATCCTTGAGTCCAAGTGGACGTTTGTGCAAAATTTGAAGAAAATCCGTCAAAGCGTTCCTGAGATGTCACAATTACGAGAAAGGGACAAACAACCCAAAAACATAATGCCTCCCGCCACGGCTATCACCAGCAACAAGGCATAAAAATGTTTTCTTTCTTGAAAAACAAATTAGACAAACCTAAATAAATACAAAAAAAAAAAATCATTCATCCGGTCACAGTTAAGTGGATCTGTAGAGCCGATATTATCACAACTAGAGTTACTGTTACAGACTCATATTTCAACACGTTTAAGTTATCAAATTCTCTTATTTCAATTTTATGTTGTCATTTACTCACATTTTAATCGACTTACTTTTTACCTGTATACATTTGTACACCAATACTGTTACTTTTACTTTACTAAAATATTTCAAGCAACAATACTTTTACTTGAGTATATAGTATGGTAGTGTACTCTTTCCATCCCCGATGGTACTCATGACTGAGGCTATTTTGTATCTTTTTCTCTCTCTCTCTCTCTCTCTCTCTTTGTGTTTGTATTTTCGTTTAGTTATTTGGGGGGGAGGCAGGTTTAGAACATGTCCAATGACAACGGAGGGGAAATTTTAGGAACTGGAGGAAAAAGTTAGAGCTCCAATGACTGCTTGAACATATATGAATGATCATTCATTCATTTTCTGTAACCGCTTATCTTGTTGGGGGTAGCAGGGGGAGAGGCAAGAGGCAGGGTACACCCTAGACAGGTCACCAGACTATCACAGGGCTGACACATGGAGACAGACAACCATTCATGCTCACATTCACACCTCCGGTCACTTTAGAGTCACCAATTAACCCGCATGTCTCTGGACTCTGGGAGGAAGCCAGAGTACCTGAAGAAAACCCACGCTGACACGAGGAGAACATGCAAACTCTGCATCCCCATTATTCTTACCTTGTGTTTATTTCAATTCTTTTATCTTTTTATTTTTTTATGTCATTATTCTTGTATGACCATTGGTTTTAAGTATGTCTGTTTAGCTTTGTACAAGCTTTCATATGAAGCCAATCTACATGAGCCTACAATTGTTCTGAAAGAGGAAGTTCCCTCTGTAACGTAACACGGAATACCCATGTGATGTGTCACACAAGAATTACATGAATCACAGCAGTAATGATGATGTTTTTTTCTGTGATATATATTTCTTAATACTGTCATACCTCAATGTTCTTACTCGCAACGTTCTTCACCACAGCAGGAAAGAGCTCTGATGAATTTTTCCCTTTGGCAATCAGCTGAAAACAAATCAAACAATAAAACAATTTTATCCACCAATCTGATCTCTGGTATTAAACTCAACAACTGAAAACACACTGTTACAATGTTGCAGTTTGTCCTGTGTGTGAATTCCCATGATGCACTCACCCCAACGATCCTTTTCATGGCTTCCAGTTTGAGGGACTCCTTGTTGCTCTCCAGCATCTCTTTAAGGTCTTCATTCCTGAGGACAGAAAGAAAATACTGTAAGCTGTGCTTATTATGGTCATTAGAGAGGCCTTAGAATTAACGCTCCTCAGACAACTTGACTAATCAGTTTCAAGCATGAGAGGTTGACCAAAGGTACTGTGAAAGTTCCATGTATACAACATCTGTGTCAGCTTCACAGATTACAGGGTACACATACGAGGGCCACATCAGCTCCTATAGGCTACACAGTTCTGTACATTATTCAGCCTATAGGGGCCTAAGGGTACACTGACAATGCACCCAAACAAACAGCAAGAATGTCATCTTTAGCACTACAAACAGCCAGCATCACACTAATCTCTGCTAAAATGTCTGCACTCACATGATATGACAATGCTCATTCCTTGGCTAATGCTGACACACATTGTGATTGTGCAACGACACAGGTTGTTTGTCTCACACAGAGGCTAAACATCTGGAAGGGTAATGTCCAGACGGAAAACAAAATGTGGGAGAGATGCAGATCATGTGTTTGTTTCTTGGAACGAAATGGACAAACAGATTTTAGCCCAGACTGAAATATATAAACAACCTGAAATTTTGTGCAGATGTTCATGTTCTTTAGTAGGATTCATTTCTAATAATTCTGATGATCTTCTGATTTTTCATCTTGCACCATCATCTGCCAAAAATGACCAAATACTTATGAAATTCCCATCAGCCTCTGCTGTACTTTGTATATAGTACTAATTAGCAATCTTAGCATGCTAAACTAAAGAAATACTTCACCCACAAAATGACCATTTGTAAATCAGTTACTCACTGGGTGTTATATTGAATTCATGAAGACAAGTGTATTGTTTCTGCATACCTTACATTGAACAGAGAATCCAAAAAGATGAACATTCTCGATGAATTGAAGTAAGCAGGGTCCGCAAAAACTATACTAAACTACATTCGCTAAAACTTTGGATGTAAAACACATCAGTTCAAACAGTGTCATGCACTACTGAGTAGTGTACCTTGGCATGCGCATGCATTTTAACTCTGATTAAGTGGAGCTCATATGAACGCGTGCTCAGGTATGCTAAGGGTGCAAAAATAGTAGGCGGAAGTGTTTCATATTGTAACACATTTGTAAAAATGCAATATTGAGCCCACAACAGGATAAATGACACTTGGATTATACTGCACAAGTTGTGTGAGTTTGTAAACGGGTGTTCTGATATAATTTCGCTGTTGTTGAATGCGGACCCTATTTACTTCAATTCATGAAGAATGTTCTCCTTTTTTAGATTCTCCATTCATGTAGAGGCATGCAAGAAAAACAAAGTTTTATTAACAAATTCAACACAACACACCGAGTAATTGACATACAAATTATCATTTTGTGGGTGAAGTATCCCTTTAACTACATTAAGATAGTGAACATAGTAAACATTATATCTGCTCTGCAGTGAGCATGTTACCTTAGCATTTAGCTCAAAACACTGCTGTGCTTTCCTACAGCCTTACAGACCTTGGTCACATTTCATCATTAATATAAGTGACTAAATTGTCTTAATTCCAATATTATGTTGTGATTTAATACATACTATTAATCTCACAGGAACATGTAGGTAAGTTAAAAGGCTACATCATGAGTCATAATTTTACAAATGTAATGTATTTTTTCTGGATTGTATTATACTTTTTGAGATACAGTTATCACGTTAGGGATGGGCAATATATTGATATGATATTGGTATTACAATATGAGACTAGCTATTGTCTTACATTTTGGATATCAAAACATCATTAAGTGCTGTCTTTCCCCAGTTTTAAAGGTTACAGTAAAGTGATTTTCATTTTCTGAACTTACCAAAGTGTTCTAGCTGTTCTCGTCATTGCATACACATTACTGATGATTATTTATCAAAAACATCACTGAAGAAATATTTTGTGAGAGCACCAACAGTTCACCCTGCAATATTGCCGCAATATCAATATTGACATATCTGATCAAATATATTATGAAATCTGATTTTCTCAATAACAACCAGCCCTTATTCAAGTAAAATAATCTCCAACAATAATTGGAAGATTTAGTTTGCAATCTCTTTCTAGGCAGAACAAATTGCAGTATACCAAACCTTTAGAAAAAAAAAATTCTAAAACGTGATTTTTACATTTGTTAGTATATCTAAATGTATCCATATTTTAAACAATAGTCACTTTTAAAAGTTTTACATGACAATCTTTGTAAGGTTTTCCTTTAAAACACATTGCAGACTCGAGTATCCAGCTGACCAACATTGTAAGGAAACAATAACCTGAACTAAAACACACAGTTTAAGGTATGTCTCCATCAGAGTTTCTGTGGGTAATCTTACTACAGTACCCGGCTTTTTGTGTCTCCTTGGGGCTACTCTTGGTGTGTGTGAGGGCCTGTTCTTCCTGACTGAGCTCAGTCTTCAGAGTGAGCTGTAAGTTCTCAGCGGATACCAGCGCTGTCCTCATGGCTCCCACTGCCTCCGAGCGTAAAGAGGAGAAACCACCATCCATGCCGGCCGTCCCCCACAGCAGTCCAAAAAACACTTCAACAGCTAGTGCTCCTTCTCTGTGTGTGTGTTAGCCGTCTAAAGAGTAGAGTCCACGAACCAAGCTGACTGTATTTCAAGTAACTCAAGAGAGAAACAGAGCTGTAGTAATTACTTTCCTTCAGGCTGTGTGCCCTGTTCTCTTGGCTTTATTTACAGTTGTCTTCTCAACTCGTTCTTGTTCATAACTGTCAAAGCCAGGGAGAGTTGAAAAACAGTACAGGCTCCACTGGCTTTGTGCCTGTCATTCACTTCTCCCTTCCTCTTCTCTTGGGCAAAAAAAAAAAAAGTCACAAGATGCCCCGTCAGCTTGCTAATGGCAAGTCATACTTATGCTTGAGGGTAGTGCCTGCTGACTCGGGTTAGACATCTGTCCTTCTGCTGTAGTCCACCTTCTTTCTGAAACTACCTGCTGGTCAGCTGTGGTCGACTCTTGTTAAGTTGTTACTCCTATCTTCTCATACATGTAGATTTTCCTCTGGAAACTATGTTATCTCACCTGCCTTCTGGCTGTCTGTGTGACTCTGTCTGTGTGTGACTATGGTCACTTCCCTCTAGGGGAAAAAGGAGGGCCTTATCTACACTGGTGGGTAAACACTGCAATACTTTTCATCACCTCCACAGCACAATCATCCACTTTAGCTCGACACCACTTAGAGCAGAGGCAGTACACTGCCAACAGGACAGGCCTACATCAACGATAACAGTACCGAGCTGAATGACAGGAAATACCCTTTAATGTGAGAACGTTGCAGTAGGATTTCATAGGGTGCAAAATTTTCTTCCTACTTTTTCTGTGGCTGAAAATAACTGATCTAAATATGTCAAACAATCAGTACTTGGTAGTGCCGTTGCTATCTTTAGCAGCTTGGTGCATAGTTTACTATTATAAAAAGAGTCCTGGTTCTTCAAAAACAGCTAACTAATATATGTGACTTAAATAGACAGATCACCCCAAAATCAAAAATAAATATTACATTTTTCCTCTTGCTTGTGATGCTATTTATCAGTCTAGATTGTTTGGCGTGAGTTGCAGAGTGTTGGAGATATCCGCAGAGGAGATGACTCCATTCTCTCGAATATACTGGAACTAGGGATGCATGATAATATTGGCACGTCATTGATATGACCTGATATTGGCCTTAAAATAAACTACCGGAATCGGCAAACGTGCTGATAATATCAGTACATCATCGACATCGGCCAATATCGGCTTTGAAATGAATGATCTGAATCAGCCAACATGCTTTTTCTTATTTTGCACAATGAATGAATATTACATATTCTTATTCTACATGCTATTCTACACATCAATAAGCAGAATTCTCATAACATATTTTCATAAATGCAGCCTAATGACAGACAAGACTGTTTGAAGTTTAGAGCATATACTGTATATGAAGGTGGACAACATGACAGCTCCCCAAAAGTGAAGTCAAAACATTTTGATTGGCCCCTGGTGGCTGGCTGCAGTATAGGTCATAAAGCCCACCCTCTCCAGGTTAGCGGATGGAGCATGAAACTAATAACTAAAAACTCAAAGTAAACATCAAATACATTTTTCCCATAGATAGTTTCTGTCAAGTCACGTAGTTCTTATCAGACTGCTGTGTGTTCAAGCGTTCATTTTTCTGATAAGTTTGGCTTTAATTAGTCATTTAATGCCACAAAATTTGGTTTACCACTTAATTGTGTGTGAGCTAATCAGAGGGCTCACATTCAGTGGCAAAGCAACTTTTTCATTCATTTGAAGAATTTTTTCTGACTATCTGACAAATGCAAGTCCAATATTCACTCTGTTTTAGCTCTGTTTTGGTCTCTACCAACACCTGAGGGAAATATCTGTCTCTTTAGCTGTTAAATGCTCCACTATGTTCACCGGCTGGTCTCTTGCTGTGTCTGTCTGCTGTTTGGCACTAGGCAGGTAGTGTACAGTGGGTTTTAGATGCCTACAGTCAGTGGCTGAAAACAATGCTATGAGAGAGTACTGAGAGAGAAGTAAACCAGTAAAGTTAAGGAACAGAAAAACATCTAGTGACATCAAAAATAATTACTCCTTTATTGTGTAGTATCCAGGTTTTTCTTTTCTCGAGTTCAGTATGCTAAATTGCTGAATCAGAAATATTTTAGTGCAAAACAAAGTGAATAGCCATAGCAAACACCACTGCATCATTTTCAATACCCCCCATCTCCTCACAGCCGAATGTCTGCATCACTTTGGCCTGATTATGAGCTTTTTTTCCATTACTGCTGAGATTTATTATAATATCATTTACCCATGGCAGTTTCCTAATGAATATTTATCACAAATGTGCCACATGTGTATCCATCTCATTTAATGGCCACGTTGTTTTATGTGAAGACAAAACAAATTTGATTTAATGATCATTATTTCAGCTCTTGTTTCAATGCAATTTCTTGTTTTGAGAATTCTTTACTAGTCTTAACAAGAACTGTATTTTGCAACTAAATTTGTCCATACAGAGTCAGTGGAAATCATACGCAACTCTTGTATGAAGGACAGATGGACTGCAGAGATGAGCTTCTCCGTGTAGTTGTTTGGATCTCATCATGTAGTTGTAACAGGACCACAACACAGCCTGGGGCAGAAGCTGGCAGAAGACGGCTTCTTTACAGCTGGATTTTATGAAGATGGTTACCATGGTTCCTCTCCAGAACTGCATTTCTTTTGGACATAAGTCAAACAAAATTCTATATTTGGTATTTTTTTCTCGAGTAAAATGTTGAATCCATTCTTTAAATTTTGTCAATGGCAATAATCTGTAGATCACTGCCAAAAAAATGATGCAGTCAAACTTAGGGATGTTCCTAACAATTAATTTCCGTGATGTTTAAACAGACAGAAGTTTAAACTTAGACTAGCTGACTAGTCTTAAAGCAAGAAAACAGTCAAAACTGAGCACAACTTAATCTATGAAGTTGAAGTAGTTTAAGGACTAATCATCCATGTTAGATTAAAAGCTGTCATTGAATATTCATACTTGACAAAACAAACGGGCAAAACAGTCAAAGCACATTTACAATTAAATCAGGACTTCTTCAACAGTAGATATACACCAAAATAAAACTGTGATCAAAATCAAAAACTGTCTGTTTGTTTATGTCAGGAAACGAATAACTCACACGGCTAATATAAATCATCGTAAATAACAGAGGGAAATAAACGCAGCTGTGGTTTGACTATGCATGAAGCCTGGGAAAATATGCAAGTTCTTGTTAAAATATCTGGAGGCACCTCCTGGTTTGAGACAAAAAAAATGCAGCAATGCTGAGCTGTCAGAAAAGGGATTGTAAATGATATAAAGTACACTGAGAAATAGGCTTTTAATGGACTGTGATACTGCAAAAAGGTTTAAGCTGATAACACCATAACAAGTGGCACACTGCAATATCGATCTGATCAGATAAAAACAAATACATTTTAGAGTTACTGCTTGTTGAGCTTGTGTTTTTTTTATTATCGGAAACATAGGACACATTAGCAGAGGGAACATAAAATATCAGTGTGTAATCATTAAAAGACTGCCAGTAGCCTTAAAATGATAAAATGCAAAAACACATGAACACAAGTACGATGTTCTCTCAAGTCAATCTGCAATGATTAAATCAATGTGTTTCACACCTGGTGAGCCTGTAATCAAGAGTGCAAACCTCTCTGGTGTTTGAGACACTGAATCACAGGATCAATCCAGTTAAATCTATCAGTATTATTTCCTCATCATTTAGATGTTTGCAGTGCTTCTTGGTTTAAAATATGATTGCTTTCATTTCTACGTGAAGAATGAGAGCCAGATGTGCCCTGGAAAGCATATTATTAACAAACAGGCCCACATATAACCATCCACTGAAAATAAAGTTTATGATCCAAAATCCAACTTTTAATGCAGGTCAAACACAACTGCTAACACAACAAAATCCATACAACCGAACCACTCAGCAACAGTGAAATATCTCTTTAGTCACAGATAACAAGTTGGTCACATGTTTCTATGGCTCACTAAGGCCTGGTATAGGGCTTTTAGTCAGTAAGAGGAGGACTAGACTACAGAACATTACAGGAATGTTGCTGTGCCCTTCACATGTGACAAACAGGGATTCAGGGATTTCAAACAGCAAAAACTTGATTTAACAACTTTATTTGTGCAGGCCATGATGCACAGGGTTGGGCACTGTGAATTGTGTCACACAGACATGTGCAAACAGAAGTATCATTCACGTATTTTCTTTCTGGTATTCCCAGTTTGGCCTAGAGGCGGGTAAACATATGATCTTGCCTTGCCTTGCTGGGTAGATGGTCATGTGAGACAGCTTAAGAGGTTCACTTTAGCATACTAAGCAACATTTAAGACTTTGGCGGAAGAAAGTCATCAAGATGACACTCGTGATGGGCAAAATCCAGCTGCAGGGAATACTCCAAACAAAGTCAGAGGCTGCAGTATAACTTCACAAAAACGCTCGCCAGATTCCAGGAAATTTAGTCAAACATTTCTTGTTTGAATTAACACATAAAGCCTTTACTCTGTGCTTAAAAACTGACCGAGCAGCTCAAATCTACACCTGTGGAGCTGGTGTACTGTGTAGCTTCTCACCCACTCACAGGGCTTTATAACCAGAGTTACTTAACTGCATAAAAACAGAGCTGGAAGATTACACTGATGATCAGCTGCCCTCTAGTGGCAGGTTTCTGAGATGAAATTCAAAACACGCTGACAATCCAGTTTCACTTTTACACTGAAAAGCTGATTAAACATGTTTTGATAAGTTAATGTAAAAGTGAACATGACATGACGTTAATATAGAAACTTCTTCTTTTCAACAGCATTTCTAAAGCATTTAACAGCTTCACCTTAAAAACACACAGCACTGGACATGTACACGGTTATATTAGAAACTAATAGGTCCAAAGGGTCTCATGTTTTTGACTCATTTTAGTGGCTCCATCTGGGAATATGTCAGTTTGAGAGATCATTCTTTTAGTTGATACATCCACACACAAGCAAGATAACAAAAAAAGAGAATCACTTGTCCCAGCATATAAAACAGGTGGTTTACAGACGAATTCATACAGGCCACATAAGTTTCTAAAAATGTAATGCCTTATTGCTGCTCTATATAAAAACCTATAACACAAATCTCTTAGTCAAAACAAAGACACTTATGCTTTCAAAATTCTATCCTGCTTTCACACAGCCATCAAAAAATCATCTATCTCTCTCACCTGAACAGTTTTGTGTGAATGACCACATTGGTTGGTCAGAAGAAGGAATAATTTATCGACAAATCAATTAAATCTAAAAAAAAAAAAAAAAAAATCATTCATATCAGTCACCTGGCTGCTTATACACCTTCCATACACAAAACCTGTGTATATCACATGATACTGAAAATAAATACTCAACTGGTCACAAGTAGAAACCTGACTATCACTCCACAACAGCAGTCTTTGCGTATCAGTGCTGAACAGGCTTGTACAGCAAGTCAGTGTCATTTACAGCTGTCAATACAGTGTTTATTTTATGCTGAATATTGAACACGCCCTCATATATTAAAGGCATTTGACTACAGTATGATAAGGCATGTAATGGCCAGTCAACCTGCAGGCTCAGAAGTATATTATTGTGTCCATATGGTGTGAACAAGTTGGCTCATTTCACACTGGTTTAATACACATCATAAAGGTGAAGAAGGGTTTTGATAATAATAAAACCCTAATAATAAAAAATAACAATTTTGTTGTCAATATGTGACTTTACAAAAATTCAACCTCTAAAACATTAAAATAAAATACAATAAGAAGAAGCTCACTCAAAAGCTCACTGTACTATGTCAACCTGCTCTGCTCAACATCCTCATACATAGGGACACTTTATGTCTGCTTATTAATGCTGCACACAAATGTGGAGGTCTTATTTCTGCTTACTCTTTGAAGAAAACCACTCCTGTGCACATTTAATGAAGCGCTCTGCACATTGATTAGACACTCACTGAACTGGATAAAGATTACATTATATACATTACATTACTAAAGCTGATCTGGAGGACTAATCAGTCCTTGTTGTTTAGACTAAGTCAGACCTCTCCCAGTGATGTCTTCCCAGTCTACCTCATTGCTGCAGATTGTATAAGAATGTATGTTTAAGGCAAAAACACGCAGCCTACGAGAGGTGGGGGGAAAAAAAATCTATACAGCATAATATCTCAATACTTACTTATTGTATCAATGCAGGGGTGCCATTTATCTATTTTTCTTGTTTATTATATAAATTATTACTTTTGCAAATACAAATTAATCTTTTGGTGGCCTACTAGGATGATAAAATTATTTGCTTTTTCCATCCACTAGATACATTTTGCTGCAATAAAGATGATTGAAGTGAGATGAAAAGACTGAAAACTTAATATTATCAGATAAAAAACAGATGGTAAAAAAAAAAATTTCCTTAATTTGCGGTTGAAAGAAAGGTAATAAACCCCAGTATATCACAATATATGGAAATGCAATACTCAGCATATCGCAAATCATATAAAATCGCAATAATATTGTATCATGACCAAAGTATCAATATTATATCGCATCAAAGGGCTCTGTTGATTCCCATCCCTAGAGCCTACTATGAAATACTGGAGAAATCAGAGTTAATACTAATGAAATTATCCATCTTGCCTTCTTTTGAGACAAATTTAAACAGATAAAAGTTTAACAAATATTCCAGGGTTTGACCTCCTGGGACATCAGATTATTTCAGGTTTTTGTTAAGTAATTTCTCAGCAAACTGTCACTCTTAAATCACTGCAGTCTGTACAGCACAAAAGAAGATTGAACTTACCTTCAAATGATTATTTTTTAACCTGCCACCATCAATTTATGAGGAAAACCAGTTCTAGTACTGTGCTTGCACTTAATTTGAGTATTTTCATTTTATATTATTTTCTTCTTCTACTAAAATACATTCAGAGGCAAATATTGGACTTTTTAACTCCACTACACTTATTTAACAACTTTAATTACTTTGCAGATTCTGATTAACAATACGAAATATAAATCAACTAATTAATTATAATGTATTATTATAGATTATGCTAACCAGCAGTATATTACGTGGTTTACCTGCTGCAGCATTATAGTGATGTACACATTATTAATGCATCACAAATTATGATCCAGTAACAACTGGAACCATTCTGCAGAGGACTTTGACTCTTGGTACTTTCAGTACATTTTGATGACACTGATACTTTTGTACTTTTACTCAGGTAAGACTCTGAATGCAGGGCTTTAACTTGTACTTCACTATAGTAGCGTTACTTTTATTTTTACTTCAGTAAAGGACCTGAGAACTTCTTCCTCCACTGCTTTCCTTGCCCGTTCTCACTTGAGAACAGCGGTTTTATCTCAACGTGCATACACTGTTACACTAAACACAGCAAAACAGTAAATGTATCTAAAATACGGACAATTTTGACAGTTACACATACCATAGCAAGCAGCTAACAGTCGCCATCACTGCCTAGCTTGTTGATGATGCTGGCTTCATTTAGAGTCAGCAGGTTAGCCGCATCAACTTCACCACAACTGTCTTACTTCACCACAAATGAACAATACTGAAGGAGAAGGAACAAATGCTAAGCTAGCTTACTTTTTAAAGTCAGCGCTGAAAAGTCCAAAGGCAGCCCCGGAGGAGGTCGCGGTGTTCTCTTGCCCCGCTTCCACGGCAGCCTCCGCTCCTCCTTGGTCATTGTACAAAGCAGCCGTCGACATGCTAAGCGTTTAAACAACTCTCCAATAAGTAAATGTATATTCTGCTCCTCTTCCGGATTTTAAACAAATAATAAACGCTAAGATGTACTAATGTAACGTAGCGTATCAAGTTCCTGCAAACCCAAACTTTCTCCGAGATTTCACCCAACTTTTTTTTTTTACACGCAGTAGCGGAAGTGTGAGCTGGACAAGTTGGTGTCACATGACAGGGCTTCAGCGGCACAGGGTACATAGATCTTGAATAAATAGAAAATAACCGTTTGCTCATTACAACGCTTATAGCTGACGTCCCGTTTAGATATTTTAGATCTATGGTGGAAACGCCCCGAGCCCTCTCGTTGCCAAGGCAACAACAGCACCATATTTCTTATCAGAGAAGAAGAAAGTGAAAAAGAACACAAGAAGCAAGTGATCAAAAACTACGTACTCGCCTAACGTATTTTACGTAAAACAACACCGAAGAGATGCACTGGCCTGTTTTCACTCAAGTAAAAGTGGTAATGCCACAGTATAAAAATACTTTGATACACGTAAATGTCCTGAATCGAAAAATGATTTAAGTAAAAGTAAGTATGAGCATTATAATATATTTAAAGTACCAAAGAAAAAGCTAGTGTTAGCTTGATGCAGGTGAATACAGTACGTCAAGTTAATATAGCATGTTTAAGGCAACATTACGCGGTTATAACTAACGATACTATCGTGATGACATTTGTTTGTGACTCTTGTTGTTTTCCAATGTGCACGTAAAATATCATATAACTGTATAATGCTAGATGTAAGTTAACAAAGAAGATATTGTTACGTTAGTTACGCTAGTCCCGCCTCCTTTCAGCCCTCGCATTTGTTCCCATGGCAACCTACAACAAACGTCCCCAAATTTCAGTGGAGGCTGTCAAGTTTATGCGTGAACTGGCTACATCTGTAATAAACTTTATTATATTATATCATACTGTCAGTCTTTAAATCTTGTTAAGGTCAAAATAGAAAGGTTAGCATTCAGCAGACTGTTGTGGACGTGCTTATTCATTCTCCTTTGCACAGGACACCACTAGCCGAGGACCATGGTAAGCCTTAGGTTAAAATAACAATCAAATGCCGTGCCGCTTTACATATATTCCAACGTTACATCTCAGTTTAGCTTTTGACTAACAGACCGTGGTAGACAACGGTTATAAATGTGCACATGTGGTAATGTTAATCCTGGTAGAGACGAGGATCCGGCTCCACGAATTCAAGGAGCAGCTCTGACACCCGCAGGTACCGCAAGCGAGCCCCCACCTCTCAGGTGGATGAGACCCTGTTTGGGAATACAACACCGGTGAGTAAGCGTTGTTGTAAATGCATACTGTAGCCAACCTAATACAATGAAATTTCAGCTAAGTGTGTTTGTTTAGATAATGGTATCACTAATGTTGCTGTGAGCCCAGAATCATCAGTTTATGGCTGTAGTGTGATAGCATCACAATGTACCTGGCTAATGATAGTTTTAAACATCTGCTGCTGAGTGTAATGTGTTGCAAGGTTGGAGAGATCACAAATTATGACTGGGTTTGTGTAATGTCTAACTCTGTCTAGATATCCCAGTTCGACAAACGTGGAAACTCAGCCTCCAAGGCCAAGAATCAATCCCAGAGGAACCAAGAAGGAGAGACTGTTCAAATTGTCACCAAAGACCTTATACGCAACCTCAGGTAGGCTAATAAACTCCAAAGATTGTCTGTCAATTTGCCTGATGGGGTATAAAACTGGCACCGGAATAAAAGGCATAATGCATATTTTCATAGATGGAAATTTAAGTAGTTAGATTTTACTTAAAAATGATACATAGCACATTTGAAAATGGGTTCTATGCTGAGGAAGTAATTTATTTATATTAATTTATAATCAATCCCTATGAGCTATTGTAAATCATTGAGATATTGTAAAAGTGCTCACATACCAGCAATTTTGTAGTACTGAAACCCAATAAGCACATATAACAAACCACCGCTGTCATTATGCCAGGATCCCATTTAGGGATCCTTCAGGAGAGTCGATCATTCTGCCAACAACTGAGTTTGAGCGGATCACCTCAGCATCCCGGGTGCTAGCTAAGGTGGAGAGGGAGACCCTGAGGGAGGCTTATCAGAGACAGAAAGAAGAGGAACTTGTAAGAAACATAAAAAAAATCCAATCAAAATTATCCTTTAACTTGCAGATTTACAATAAGACAATAAGCCCTCCAGTCTTTTTTATAAAATTCCTCTCATCTAGCGAGCTGCAGACGAAAGGAAGCGTCAAATCTATGAGGCAGACCTGTCCCGTAAGGAGAACAAGGCACTGACTGAGCTGGAGCTAGAGGCCCGGGACCGTGCGCAGCACCTGGTGGACCGGGCCAATGCCTTAAGGATAGAGCAAGAGGATGAGATCCAAAAGCTTAACAAGGTAGGAAGCAGCTGTAGACATGTGGACCGTGCAAGTTTAAAAATGTGACTGAAAGTGAAGCCATCAGTCATCAGCAGTTCTGATTTTTTCTGAATGTCATCAGTACTTCTTTGTGTGTGTGGATGCGTGTGTGATCCCCTCAGCTGATTCTCGGTGCTCAGTGTCAAGCCACACGTGATGCCCAGATCCATGAGAAGACACAGATCCAGTCAGAGATGTTAGAGGAGGAGAAGCGTCTGGATGCCATGATGGAAGTGGAGCGCCGCAAGGCCTTGGAGACTATGGAGCAGATAGATGAGCGGCACAAACAGCAGAGGATCAGGTAAAGATAGCTCTTACTGGGAAATACATACTTAATTATTCATGGATTGATTTGCACATGGATTAAAAAAAAATACTTTTATATGACACTTTGGGGACGAAAAAATGTTTTCTTCAGCCACTCAAACCACCCACATCTTTCTAATGAGATCCATATCTTATCAAATGTAAAAGCAGTAGTAATGTAGTTATTATTGTTTATCTTATGCCCGTGTCATTTTCCAGCGGAATGCAGAAAATTTACGACCAGATCCAGCAACGTCTGGAGGAGAAGCAAGTGCAAGAAGAGATGAAAGAGCAGGAGAAACAGCAGATACGAGAGAAGCAGGAAAAAATGAACCTGGAGGACCTGAGGGTGCAGACACAGCCCGTGCAAAGATAACAATAAACATAAGCACTAGAAATTAGAACATTTCCAGAGTCATAAACAGCGCATGCTCAGGGGTGTGTGCAACCACATGCATGGTTCACCTACACTAGAGTTTCTTTTCTAACTGGTTGTCTTCTTCCAGGCTCTGGAGAAGAAGAGGGAGGAGCAGCAGCATCTGCAGGAAGAGATCATGCGTATCAATTCTGAGACCATGCGGGCCAAGGAGCAGAGGAGAGAGGAGGAGAAGCTGACTGACATGAGAGACATGGAATACATAAGAAACAAAATGGTCAGAAGAAAAGCAAATGTCTTCATAGTGGTTTTTTTTCATATATTGACATTTCATGACCTGTACAGGAGCGGGAGGCAGAATATGAAGCAGAGCAGAGACGAATCAAGAAGGAGAAGGAGTTAGAGATTGCCAGGCTGAGGGCCCGGCAAGAGAAAGCAAAAGACTACAAGGCAGAGCAGGTCAGGAAAAAACTACCAGCTGACCATCTCCATAAAGGTGGTAGCTGCTGAATTGAATCCTATAACAGATTAAAATACTCTAATCACTTTTTGAAAGCACTTAAATGCCATTCAGATTCAGATGGGAATTAAAGCATTCAGCATGTCCAAATTTTGTGTCTCTGCATTTGGAAGGATGAACTCCGTGCTCGGAGGAACCAAGAGATCACAGATAGAGAGTGGAGGAGAAAAGAGAGAGAGCTCGCTGCAAAGAAAGCTCAGGAGGAAGCGATGCTGAGGGAAGCTCGCTCACAGCAGGTTCATTGCAAAGAGCACTTCCTGTCGATCGAGGCTGGCCGGGAGAAGGCAGAGTTTGAGAGGGTGGTGAAGTAAGGAACTGAATTTTATTGTTTTTAAACTTATTTTCACATCCTGAAATTGTGTTTGGAGAAGTGGCAGGAGTGCCTACACAGTAGCTAAGCAATGTGCTGCTGTAGGTGGGGGCAGCAGCAAAACAATTTTTAGCCACAGAAAAAAGTTCCACCCAAAAAATCTTTAACGGTTTAAATCTACGCTATATTGAGAGCATAAATTTAAACTGATATTGATCGTTTTAGGTGGGCCTTTTTAGGTAGCTAAAATAGGTTTTGCAGCTGACCCCTCCACAGCTCGTGTCAGAATCCAGCCTGCTTCCCCAGACTGGGGGTGTGCTGAGTGATATCTACTGTATGAAATACCCTGACTATGGATAAATACCCCATACAATCCCACTCCAAATGATCCGAGCTATACTACAGTAGGATGGTTGAGTCAGTGTAGTAGAAATGCACCTTTAATATTTGTTTTCATTTATTCATTGCATATTATTTTAAACATTCAGCTGTACCATTTTATTAATATTAGTTTTCACTACCACTTCTTTCTTTCTCCACACAGGGTGCAACAGGAAGCAAGCATCAAACAAAAGGAGGAGGAGGAGAAGCAGCGTCAGAAAGCACTCCGTCATGCAGAGGCCATCCGAAATCAAGTGAAGGAACGTGAGCTGTCAGCCATAGCTAAGCGCAGAGAGATCTTCAAGGAGGCCGATCGCTTGATCGAGGAAGCCCGGCAGCGACGTGTTCGCCTCGATGAGATCAAAGAGAAGAAGCTGAAGGAGCTCAGGTAAGTACTGGAAGGTTAATGGCTCTTTCTTGTGGCTGATATTTTGAAATGACTGTCTTTAACTGAATAAAGCTGACATGTGTTTGTTAATGTGCAGGGCTACGGGGCTCTCTGAAAAGTACTGCAGTGAAGTGGAAAGGAAAGCCCGGGCCTGTGCGCTCTGATCACTCACAGCTGGATTCAAATGGTGCAAAGCCATCACATTTTACAGGGATCATGTTAAAGATTTAAGTATTTATGGAATTTGAACACATATAACAATCTACCAATAAACATTTCTATTGCACCTTCATTGCTTTATAAGCTTTTGATCAATGGTATGTGAACATTTTAGTAGTTGATTGTGTTTTATGTTGTTTCTTTGAAGCATATTGCAAAAACAAGACTTTATTTTTAATACATTAATACTTCCTCGCACACAGACTGACTCTACATGAGACAGGGTACAATTGTTAGTTTTAGTTTTTATTCAGGTCAGTATTTCCCTTTCAATTGAGACATATTCTGCCAACCATCAATGACAGATTCCCTTTATTACAAATATGCATGACAACAGGAAAAAAATTCAGCTCATGTTAGGGTTAGGATGGAATTTAACACACATAGCTTAATGCATGTAAGGAAGTAAAATACATCAAGGTAAACACAGGCTCTTATTTCAGACCATTTTCGACAAAAAATTTAACATATGGAGAACTTATTTCTTCATCATAACCATCTAAATGCACAGCCTGCAGGGGTGCTTATAGATCTGGAGCTTGTGAATTTACTTTTAGGGTTCTATAAAGTACTATCATATCTTAACATTACTGACCTCAAGCTCCAAAGTAACTGGTAACTAAAATGATCAAATCCAGTGGAGTAAAAAGTACAATATTTCCTTCTCAATTTTTGTTAAGGAGCAGTATAAAAGAACATGAAATTAACTAAGTAAAGTACAAGTAACTCAGATTTGTATGGTACTTGACTACATATACAGTACATTTTTAATGCAGGACTTTTGCTTGTAACTGAGTATCTTTATACACTGGTATTTTTTCTCTACTTTCTTTAGTGTGGGGCTGCAACTAACAATTATTTTCATCGTCAATTATTTTCTTAATTAAACATTTAGTTGTTTGGTATATAAAATGTCAGGAAATGGTAATAAAAAAAAAATGTTGATGAAATCCTCAAATGTCTTGTCCACAACACAAAGATATCCAGTTTACCGTAATAGAGGAGTAGAGAAATCAGAAAATATTAACATTTAGGAAGCAAGTATCAGAGAATTCAATTTTTTTTGTCTTAAAAAAATGTCTCAAATTATTAATCGATTATGAAATTAGCTGGTGATTTAATAGCTGACTAACTAATTGATTTGGTTGAAGCTTAGAGTACACAAGTCCATATACAGATACACAGACAACAATAAACAAGAACAAAATATGAAGACAAAACTAAAATAATAAGTGTTATTATATACATTTTATGTGTTATATGCATTATTTCATAATCATTTAATAACTCAGATGTCTTGCTACTACTATTGTTGAAATTCATCAATAAAGTGCAGGAAAGTCAGCTCAGTTCCTGACCATTTTTCTTGTGAATATGAAATTTTACCAAAATAATTTAAAAAAACTGGTACATATACATGCTATTTTCAATCTCATTTCGACTAAAATATAGCATTACATCACATCACACATATTTATTTCAACATTTTATTATTTATTAGAAAGTTGGGTGCATTAATCTAAAACATGTTTGTGAATATATAGTGAAATAAAAAAGTGAAATACTGTCTTCTTCTAGTCTCTGGTCATGTAGGACGTGACGTTTCACGCAAAATAAAACTAAATAAAACACATGACGTTTCTTTACTTCCGCCTGGCGTCTCGTTTGCATCGTATGTGATCCGCTGCTGGTGACCAATCCTCCACAGCGATAGTATCTCTGGACACAGTCAACACTTGACTTCACCTCCGACCGTGTTTCATCTCTTGCGTCTACCTCAACACGACACGGTTTTTTAGAAGAAGCCAGCTCTAACTTATACTTATATAATTGTTGGTTTAAAGACGACTTAAGCTACCCTCTTGGGAAAATGTCAGATTTCGACAGCAACCCGTTCGCGGACCCAGAGATCGGCAGCCCATTTCAGGTAACGTTATGCTAGCTAGCTACGTTAGCCACATTAGCATTAGCTTCTGCATTATTTCACATTAATAACAGCGTTACTCGGCTAGGCAAGTCGAGACACTGGTTGTTTTGAGCTAAGCAGCTGAGATAGCCTCATGAGTTAAATAATAGTAATAGCAGCTGTTAGGAAAACGTTAGTTCACTTGTTGGTAGGCTTTCGGTACAGTCTGTCACTTAATATTGGTACACTTTGTGACTTGACATGTAAAGGTAACAGGCAGTGTTGTGTTAGCTGCTAGCTTGATGTCTTGTGTTAGCCTTCCTTGTGATGCAGCAGGTGTTATTTCTGATTTAGACTGTAGCACGTTGGATGGACAGTGTTTTATTAAAGTCATATTTGCATCTTGTAGTTTAATTTTTTCACCTGTCTTTACACCCTTCCCACAAAGGAACTTTAAAGGCAACGATCACCCCTTTTTTTAGATATACTAAACTGTTGTACATATGTTTTTGCTTAATGCAGACTGAAGTGAAAGTGATTTTTCACAATGGACTGTATATCAAACCACATATTATATTAATAGTTCAAACTGAGGTGTAGGAATTCAGGGAATAGTTCGACATTTCAAATATGATATTAAAACAGTTATTTGAGTGACTCTGCTCTCCAAAACAGGGAAGTAAATGAAAGCAGAACATACATTTTTTCACTGTCATGCCTTTATTATGTTGTTAGCTTGATTTAGGCATTTAGACACCTTTGTGTTAACAGTGTCTTGTCATGGTGAAAGCATGCATTTGATCATGTGCTCTTTAGCCCTTAAAGTGCCTGCCTCCCTCAGCAAGCCTGCAATGGTGTTTCCCTCTCTATGTACCTCATCAGATCAGGTGTACTGAACATGAGCACTAGGAAAGAAACTGATTAGCATTTTCTGTAGAGCTGAAAAGATAAATCATGCGACTATTTTGGTAACTGATTAAATGTTTAAATAATTTTTCAGGTAAAAATGCCCAGTCTTCCCTGCTTCCAGCTACTCAAATGTTAATATTTGCTGGTTTTCTTAGTCTTCTATGATATTTATATGACTGTCTTTGAGTTTTGGGCTGTTTTCATTATGGCTTAACAGCAGATAAACCACATGTCAAAAATGGTAATAGAGCTGCAGTGATTGGTCAATTATTTGATTGTTTTTGTTTTTGTTTTTTAAAGATTATTTTTTGGGCTTTTTTTTTTGCCTTTAATATACAGGACAGTGAGAAATGGGGAGACAGAGAGAGTGGGGGGACGACATGCAGCAAAGGGTTGCAAGCTGGAGTCAAACTCGCGACCGCTGCAGCGAGGCATCGCCTCTATACATGGGGCGCCAGCACTATCCACTAAGCTACCGACGCCCCAGTTGATTGGGGTTTTGAAAGAAAATTATTTTGTAACTATTCGATAATTGACTACTCATTTAAGTAGTTTTTTAAGTAGAAATACCAAACATTTGATGGTTTACGGTCCTGTAATGTGAGAATTCACAGCTTTTCTTGGTCTTACATGATAATAAATTGAATATTTTGGGGTTTGGGGACAGAACATGACATTGACTAAGGGCTTTTTTGCTGTAAGATATTGCAGTTGGCTTTCTTATTTTTTGTCCTGATGTCGTATGGACCAAATGATTAATTGAGAAGTTTTTTTAGGTTAACCATGTGATCCGTAACATGTCAAAAATGATGGCAATGCTCTTCAAAAGTTGCCAGAAGTGATTTAAGTGGAGATTGCCTACAGCACTAAACAGAACACAGTATTCATTTTGCAAAGATGTGATACAAAGAAAAGCAAACCAGTCCTCACATTTGTAAGTTATCAGAATGTCTGGCATTTTTAAAATAAAAATCAACCTTTTTTTAATTGTTAGATAGGTTGATAATTGGCTAAAACATCATATCACAGATATTATTGTGCATGTGTACATGGCTACATTAAATGTTTCCTCTCATTTTAGAGACTATAACATTTCACAGGAACTTAAAAAGTCATTCCTCCATCTTGCTCACTCAGTGTGTGGTGGGGAGAGATGCTGACGGCACAGTTTGACCGTACAAATGCATGAAAAGTGAATAATTCATGGAGCCTCATTAACATACTGACATGACTAGTGAACTCCTGCTGCTCTGCCATTTTTCTGTCATTTATTGGCTCACACTTTCTTTTCTGGCCTGAGGAGAAATGGAGCTTTGTTCCCTTCTCTGAGCTATCTTCAATAGTTCATGAAATCATATGGTGCTGTCATAGCGACATGTGGTGCTAGGATCCCCGCTGGCGCCTTTTTAGCTACATTTCATGACATACAGTCATGCATCAGATTGTTCATTCTGTTTTGGCCTATTTCTCTGGATGTAGGCTAATTACAGACATTAAGTTTCCATGTCCGGTAAGAAGGAAGCATAGATGTCACATTGTGTCATCTTAGCGGTTTAATCAAATGTTGTAGAGACCACACAGAGCGTGGACTCCGGCTGGTTTTCATCCTGCTGAGCCAGCAGTGTGTTCCATATTAAAGTTTCACCGTCACACAGTACAACAGGCAAAGTTTTGAAGTCTCAGATGAAGTGGCCTCAGCTAGCAGGACCTCTGCACCTGTTCTGTTTCCAGCAACATTAGGACCATGACAGATACATGTTTGTGCCTTATTAGTTGACAGGAAATCCATAACCGTGAAATTAGTTTTCACACAGACAGACATGCAACAGATGATTGATTTTTTTACTTTTGTGACCGTAGATTTCAAAATGAAATCCTGCTGAATATGCATGTGTTTGTTTGGCTGTGCAACAGGGCGACATTAAACTTTAAACACAACATACTCTGAAATATTTATGACCCTGGTCTGGTGACAAGTTGCAGCCTGTGTGTGTGCGGCAACGGAAGAGATGCTCCCAGAAACTTAAGAGTCAGGGAGACAGTGAGAGGACTGCACCCAGACTGGATAAGGATAGCACTGCAGGAATACACAGATTGGATGTTAATCTTGGGCAGTAATTTGAATGAAAGTAGTGCGTGACTGACAGCAGCTGATGGTAAGCTTATAATAAATAGACACGTGTGTTACCAGCTTAACCGATGACTGCAGGAACAGGAATTTTACATGCAAATGGAGGCAAAAGATAC